TTATACTTTTTCTGTTTATCTTTTGATAGTTCGAAATCCGTCGACCGAAGAAAGCTCGTCGTAATTTACCTCAACTAATGAGAAAGAATATGATGGAATTTGATATGACGTCATCACCGGTGTGTTATAATAAGAATAAGATGGTACAAGTTAGAAATGAAGAAATAAAAGAAGAAATAAATGAAAGACAAGAAGATGAACGAATTAAATCAGCAGTAGAAAGATTATCAGATGATGTAGAATTAATATCTGATTGTAGTCGACCTTATAGTCTACCTACTGTATGTGGTAAACATAAAGATCTCAAGTCTATTTCACCTCAAACTGTAAGTAATATTCAAGCTTTTCTTTATTTATATAAACTACCCATTTGAAATGGTTATTTGATAGAATATTAATAATGAAATATTTTATATTTGATCTGTATAAATATTAAGCTTATCAACTATTTTCCAGGTTGAAGATTTATTAAATGGTAAATACACAACTATAGATAATAATTATATGATACTAGATTGTAGATATCCATATGAATATGATGGTGGTCATATCCAGGGAGCAGTTAATACTTATATTAAAGATTCTATAGATAATTTATTACAATTACAAGATAAACCTAGAATCTTAATATTCCATTGTGAATTTTCTTCACCGAGAGCACCTACACTGTAAGTATCAAATATCTCAATATCTTATGTATGTAGTATATCAAGCTTAACAAATCGAACGTATACTATATTTGAATATATGTGTCGTGTATAATAGATTAGTGCGCAAGATTCTCGAAATTATACGTCATATGTTTCCTTTTTCAGATTACGATATCTTCGATCTCAAGACCGATTATTGAATAGTGATAATTATCCTAGTCTATATTACCCAGAAGTCTATATTCTAGATGGTGGATATAAAGCTTTTTATGAACATACACAGGTAAATATATTTCTTTTTTCATAAATAGAATTATTACAATGTTAGAATTGAATTATGTGGTGTTTAGTAGATTAGAAGTATTTAAAATCATATAAAATCATATAATTATTGTAATAGGCGTTTTTTCAACACTTCGTAGATTATACTAAATAATTCAACCTTTTCATTTTTCAGAATCTGTGTGAACCCCGTGATTATATTCAAATGTTAGATCCTAAGTTTAGTGAAGAATTATCAATTTTCCAGAGTAAAAAATCTCGAGGTAATAGAAGTAGAGAAGAGAAGATAAGAAAACTTCGTGTTATCAGATTTTAATTGTTTAAAATTGTTATCTATTTGTTATCGTTATTTATTTTATTATTGTTAAATTATTGTACACTGTTATTGAATAACAATCAATCATTCTACAAGTTTGTTTTCTAAATTTGAATTATCTATTTCTCGCGATGTCTTGTAATGCATACCAGACTATTTCTATACACTATACATGGGTTCTAACATATAAACCCAAAAACCAAAAAATGGGACGCAATTTGCAATTTCCCTCATGTCGACTGCATCTTATTATGAAATATTATTCAATAATCGCCAATGTTACTGAGATTACATTTATACGCCATTTTAGAGCATAAGTCAAATAAGTTATGGATAAGTTTTGTTTAAGCTGAAACACGCTGGTATACGTCACAGTATGGTGAGCTCGTCAATATTGTTTGTGTATGCTAATTTTTGACGTATAACTATGTATGTCTAGCGTTTAGGTGTATGAAATAAATATCAGGTCCAAACCGCAATACTGTATGTGAATATATGTCTTAATATATTAAACTTGTGGGCACTCTTTGTGGAGCACTGAACTAAAAATATCGAGCAATTACCGGGTATATGGCAAAACACCAAAACTAGATCTAGAAACTGCTTATCTAACATTTATTAAACAAATTCAATTAAGTCTATACATAGAAATGAATAGTTAAAATAAAATACTTTCCATACTTTCTTTTAATGTGTTTGTAGATTTTGTCATTTTACAAGGTACGGGTAGGTAGGTAAGTACAGTGCGTCTCTCCCCGATAATAAGAGGGCGATATGCTCGAAATGTCTGTTTTGATGTGCATGCTTTATCGAAATTATACTGTATATGAATATATGTCTTAATATAATAAACTAGTGTGCACTCTTGTGCACACCAAAACTAGATCAAACTGCTTATCTAACATTTACTACACCCTTTTAAAAAAATTCAATTAGGTCTATACATAGAAATGAACAGCAAAAATAAAAAACTTTCCATGCAGTCCTTTAATGTGTTTTGAAGATTCTATCTTCCCTTCAACTTATTATAGTATACAGGTATGTAAATAACTTCTATCAAAAGGCAACTAATTTACTTATTTTGTATAAGTACAATGCGTCTCGCCCTGATAATAAGAGGGCGACATGCTCCAAATCTCTAACTGTTTTTGAACAAAGGAACAAAAAGACACCCCAGGATCACAAACCCGTATTTATATGCGCTTTACGAGGGTTGACTGAAAAGAACTCAGCCTATCGGGTTGAATCAAATTTTTGCATCTCTGCTGCCAAAGCTTTTAGCAGCGGTACAAAAATGTAGCAGTTTCCAAAATTTGTTATGCATATGATTTTATAGCCCAATTTGGCTCCACAAAGTTTTACGTGTCTCCAAAAAGGGACGGGTAGGATAGATTTCTTTCACCCTTATTTGACAATAACTACAGATAGGTAAATAACTATCAAATAACTATCAAAAGGCATCTACTTTACTTATTTTGAATAAATACAGCGAGTCTCTTCATAATAAGAGGGCGACATGCTCCAAATCTCTAACTGTTTTTGAATAAAAAATAGCAAAAAGACACTTTTTAAGAGTAACTAAAGTATTTTATTCTATGAGCTTTGGGAAATATTAACGACGTAACCAAGTCAACAAGAAATAGTTAAAACCATACGTTTTATCAAGTGAGGTTGAAACGTCTCAAGGACCCTACTGTCTGGAAACCAGATATAAATATTGTTTTTCTAATAAAATTGAAATAACCAAACAATACGACACACACGCCAAAAGATAAGATGAAATATGGTACAAATCTTTTATTATCTGTAAGAATTTCAACAGGCTTTCAAATTAGCAACAAACAAGACTGATAAAAGCCCAATTTGATGATTAATATTAGAGTTATCCCGAGGTAACACTGCATTTTAACATTAAAAAATTTTTATTATTGTAAACTCTGCATATACAAGTAAAATATATAACACAAATCCTTGCTGTAAAATATTGTGTGTTCTCTTGCATGATAATCGCATGCAGCAAGATTATGAATAGTTCGTGAAGTGAATAACCTATCGCACTTGAGTGATTTAACTTAACTATCAACTTGTATATATATTGGCCATGGTATAGGAGCTTTTGCTGATAAACATACATGCCTTAACGCTTAACCAGTCTATTGTGCCGTTACATTTATCCGTTCTAGAATTAATTTACAACCATAATTTTGGAATGTATGTATAGACGGAACCTTGGTTTCGGATAGTTTTTTTCTAATGAAATATTTAATTTTGTATACATGATGTTGTATAGCAACACTGTTCATTCAAGCAGATACTAAGCAATGGATTGAGGCCATAATCGGGATTTATACATTTTATTAGTGAAATTATTCTGCTTTAGAGCGATTTACATGCCATAGAGAGGCGAATTAAAGTTTGACAAAAGAATAAAACCTTCATGTTTTACTCCTTGAACCATTTTGATTACTAATCATTTTCAATCATAACTTATTATATTTCTGTTTTAATTACAGTCATTATATTTCTATGTGAGTAATATTTATATCCACACTGAATACTGTTCTTAATCCATGTTCACCTTTCTTACAATAAAGAGAGAATGAAGTGATAATGATTTAAGATAAAATACATGACGATATTTATAGTGATAATGAATATAATGTCGAGTGAATTATATCATTATGATTACTATCATTTTCTATCATAACTAATTATATTTCTGTTTTAATTACAGTCATTATATTTCTATGTGAGTAATATTTATATCTATACTGAATACTGTTCTTAATCCATTTCAATCTTTCTGAAAGTTGACTTTTATGTTGTTATATGGTCCAAATCAGGCCGATTGGAAAAAACAATCCTTGATGAAAGGTCATTTTTAGATTGAAGAAGGTCAGTATATCTGATACAAAAATATTGATTTAAAGGGTTTCGGCACGGCACATGTTAAACTGTGTTATTACACTATGATTTATCTATTATTGTACCTTTTGAATTATTACAATGTGCAAATGATAATTAAATTCATTTCATTTAAACGTGTCTTTAATATCTTTCAAGCCTTGCATGAATACTTCGTATTATCCAGTATTATAAGGTATATCACAAGCTATCTTTGCCTCTATTAAAGTTATCTATACGTTGTCATAACGTTTTATATAAGTCTATACAACGTTATGATTTAATAAAAAACAACAATTGTTCAAATACACCAGCGTTTCAAGGAATTTTTTATACAATACCTTAGGCTGGCTAAATCGTCAAGGTGTAACAGGGCCATTATCTACATATCATATGAAAATATTTTATATATGCTAGACGATTTTAGTATCTATATTCTTGTTACGATTTTACAAGTCAGATGTTGGGGATACAAAGCTGCAAATAAAATCTAGGTTGACGAATCTTCAGAAACCAGTTTATTTCTACCACTCTGAAATTCAAACTTCTGTAACAATACAAAACCATGCGTAAGTTAGCAAATGATTCGCCATTACAGTTTCATCTTCCAACAATAATTGGTATCAATCTGTAAAATTAAATCATTCTTCATTACTATTTTGAAAAAAAAACATTCTGTCATATGGACTCTTGCCATAAGGAGCTTGATCTTAGATGCAAGGGAGCACATGCTCTGTTTTTTCAGTTTATTAAGGACAGTTGTCTTCCTCAGGCGACCATAAGCGTGTATTGATGGATGATTGTGGAGATCGTCGTGCTCGCCAAAGGACACAAACGATGCAGGTGACTAGGAGGTCGCTGTCACAATTATAGTTATGAAAACACCTGAAAATTGTTTGGCAATCTAAGGGAGCACAAGATACATAATAGCAGTATAACGTGACTTTTATGATAAGGTGACTATTGACCGTTTTTGAATAGCTATGCGATACTGCTTAAATTAATTACAAATACGTGTATAATTCTATTAAAACTCTCTGACAGGACTGCATCCATATCAATCGATTCCTTTTTCACATTTTCTATTAAAATACTCACTTCCGGGTTAATCATGTTCTTAAAATCATGTACCCCTTCACCATAAAATCTTATAACTGTATGGGAAATCTTTCTTAATTTGGCCAAAAGGTTATTATAGTCTTTAATTCAAATGTCTTGACCTCCCTGGTAAAGAAAAGATGGTGGTAGATCGTTAGTGACGTCACGATAAGCAGACTTGGTTAAAAGTTTCCTAATAATTCTAGAACTGTTGAGAAATATCATATTGTATCCAAGGAATCGGTTATTTCTCCAAATCGTAAAGCAAGTTTCTCTGCAGCTAAAATAAGTCTTCTCTTGCGATAAATCCATACATAATTTTAATAGATTCCATCAGGGAAGGACCTGGGGTAGTCTCCCCTTATTGTTGGTCACCTAATATATATAATTGAGAAGAAAGAATATCACAAGGTAAATCAATCAACTCATTTTCCACACTATAGTTGTTTATAAAATCAAACTATATGTGAAATTGGGTCTTTAGTCCATTTAGGCATTTCAGCAAATTGACCTGGATCTTACCCAAATCAGTATAAAGCTGAGATAAAAATGAATTATAATTTTAGCTCAAAACGTTATCAGAAGAATCAATTGAAAAAAAAGTTAAAATCAGTTAAAAAAAAATAACATAACATATTGTGTACATTTATCTTGGTTGTACTTAATACATCGTAATACATCGTAACTCCATCGCGTCTGTTATAAACAACTTCATACTGCGTTTATTTTGCTGCTTGGATGAAGTAAGTACAAAACACATGTTATTTATATACTAAGGTTTTGCTCTCTTAATTCTTTTGAATATATAGTAATAACAAATTATGAAAATCAAACTACTCCCAAGTCTGATGTTTTGAAAGACTTTTTGAAAGGGCATAAAACGGCTCATCAAAGTTTATAAGAGCATTTCCATTTTTTTAAGGTCGAAAGATTTTTTTGCACAAATTTGTGAAATGTATCCCTTAACGTATCTAAATATAATTTTCGACGTTTTTGATAATAAAAAAAAATGTTGCATACTGCCCCTTTAACAACCGTATTTTATTTATAGATTTTGCACTGTGCATAAAGTACACAAGATTCATTATATTCAAACCTGAACGAGGTCTCTAAACATTTACATGCAAATCAAATGTTACCAAAATTGGAATAAAACTGAAATCTCGATATGGTGCTTAAAGCTCAAATTTGACATCTGTATAAAAAATCCAGTGCAACTACGGTTAACAAATCTATGTGCATGGCCTATTAACTTACAACACGCTTGAGTAACAAATAAACTTATATCATGTAGCCTACATCAGGTAATTTGATATATAATCGACATATTATAGAACAACTAAATATAGGCCTGTGCATGAATAGTAGTAGTACATTTGTAAATGTAATTTAAGACGATCCGACTCGGGAGTGAAACGCCTAAGCTTAAATTGATTGTCAGCAAAGTAAGTCTTTTATATAATAAATATCATTTTCAGTCCATTTTCTTGTTAGTTTTTAGTGTCAAATATACGAAAGACTGGTAGGGGCAATCCGACTTCCGTCTTTTTGCCTTTTTTACGAAAAATTGCGGAAACACTTTGGGCATGCTGGCATATATTTTGTGGTCAAAACGTATGAAAATGAGATTTTCAAATTGGTAGATTTTGGGGGAACAAATCATTTTTCCACGCAAGCTTTGAGAAATACGCCCATCCGTGGGATTCATACATCGTTTAACCATAAAATTCAATCAATGTGAGGTTAATTTGAGAATTCATTATAAAAGGCAGTAGATAACTGGTTGAAAGATTTATTGAAATGTTGAATCACATATGTTGTCAAAAGGGTGCCCGAAATCGAAAAAATACTATGAGACGTGTGTTTTTCATTTTAGGATGGTCAGAAATTACAAGAGAAAAAGTAATAGAGGTCATTACGGGAATGAAAAAATGGCTACAGCTTTGAAGGCTTTAAGTGAGGGCATGTCACTACATCGTGCAAGCAAGGACTTTGGGATACCCCCAAGGACATTAAGGCGTCACCGTGATAAGAAAGTGTCTCAGCCAGGGAAGGTAATGATGGGACGTCATAAGAAAGTGTTTTCAGATGATTTGGAGAAAAAATTGAGAGATCATATCATAGATATGGAGCGGAGGATGTATGGATTAAACACAAAAGATCTCAGACGCCTTGCATTTGATCTTGCTGAAAGTGCCCAAATTTCTCACCCGTTCAATAAGGAAAGTCGAATGGCTGGCAATGATTGGCTTTTTAAGTTTTTGAAACGAAATAATCTAAGCTTGAGACAATCGCAAGGTACCAGTTCGTCCCGTGTTAATAGGTTTAACAGAATAATAGAAAATCAGTTCTTTGAACTGTACAGATCAGTCCTACAGTCTCACAATTTCACCGCTGACAAGATATGGAATATGGATGAAACTGGACTTGTCACATTTCAAAAGCCTGTGAAAGAAATTACATTGAAAGGAACAAGGCAGGTCGGAAAAGTGAAAAGTGCAGAAAGAGGTGAAATAGTAACTTTTATATGTGCAATGAATGCAAGTGGTGGATTCTTACCCCCTATGTATATATTTCCAAGACAACGTATGGTGGATACACTCATGAACGGGGCACCATCTCAATCTGTGGGATGTGCTAATCAATCTGGCTTGAGTGATTCAGAGCTATTTTTTAAATGGCTCGAACATTTTGTTACTTTTACAAATGTTTCTAAAGAGTCCAAGCATATAATTCTCCTAGATGGTCGTCATAGTCACAAATCATTGGCTTCTGTTGAGTACTGCAGAGAACATGGCATAGAAATACTTACCTTTCCACCACACAGCACATACAGGATGCAGCCACTGGACAAGGCCTACTTTAATTCTCTGAAGAGTACCTTTAATATCTCTGTTGATAGCTGGATGGTTGCAAATCCTGGAAAGCGGGTCACGATTGACGAGATTGCTGAAATATCAGGCAAGGCCTTTCTGCTGTCAGCAACATCTGAAAAAGCTGTAAATGGTTTTAAAGCCTGTGGGCTGTGGCCCTATGACGCAAGTGTCGTCTGTGAGAAAGACTCGATTGATGAAGAAATGACTGAAGAAGAGCGCCCGTTAACAATATGTTCGCCTGGATTGGATTCAGTTCAATCACAATCAGAACAGAAAGGATCGACCTCAAATGCATCTGCTCAATCCACAGTATCAACGCATGTTGCCACTGAAAAGGCTGCAACAGCTGTATCTACTGAAACTGCTCTTATGAGAAATGAATCCTTTACTCCAATCACGTGTACTGGATCCGCTTTTATCAGGACTGAATCTGCTCACAAAGCCAAATCTAATGGACCCGCTACTGTAAGAAATGAATCTGCTCCCCCATTTAAGACCACTAAAGCTGCTTCTATGAGTAATAAATCCTCTCTTTCAAACACATTCAATGCATCTGATTTCACCGAAAAGCAGTCGACTCCATTAACAGTATCTCCATCCATTGATAAAATGTTCCCGCAAACATCTATTATACGGACTTTTGGTGATGGGCGTTGTTTCTTTAGGAGCATTGTCACTGGCTTAAGTGTATTTTTGCAAATTGCCAACAGGACCAAACATGGAATCTTGACAAATCTGGAATTTGCAAAACTCGAAAGGAAGATGGCGGATGAATTAAGATCAAAAGCACTTACATATCTGATAAATCATATTGAAGAATTCAGATCATTTGACGTGGAACATGTTAATGTAGATCTTCCGCCAGCCATTCGATATAACAAACTTGCAGATAGGATAGCTGCCATGTCCAGCCCAACCACTATGCCCGGAGAGTTAGAAATAATAGCAACAAGCAGATTTCTGCAGAGTTCAATTTCCATAGTAAATGAACAGAATAGAATCATTTCCAGATATGGAGAACATTTTCTGCAACAGCCACTGGTTGTGCAGTTTAAATCAGTGGGAGAGGGTGTTGGACATTATGATTGTGTATGTAAGTTTGTCCAAAAATCAAAGAGGAAGACTTTACCCAGAAAGAACATCAGGTGAAGAAATCAGAAATTTTATAACAAATCGCCCAACTTTGCCAAAAATATAAAAAAACAAGACCTAGAATCAGAAAAGAAAAATCAACAGTTCTTCTTTATATACAATAGGAATGGTACCAAAACATAATCAACAGAAACATTCAAAACAATGAAAAGAGACAAGTAAAAAACAGCAGCAAAACCAAACAGACAGAAATATAAGGAAAAGAAATCACAAGTATTTTACTGACGAAACTGATGATGAAGAATGGCCTTGTCTAACATCCTGTGAACCTTGTAGAACCACCAGACCTGGTGCTTTTTTGGGTTCAGTGTCAAGACGAGAACATGAGATGTGCACACCAGTGATACTTGCAATTTAATTACCCAAATTATGAATCTGATGTTGAATCTGAATGATTCGTTCACAAATTTTTAATGACTCCATTGGTTCAAAAATTTATAGTATGCTCGCATTCTGAATGGCGGAATTTAGTTTTAAACAGTTGTTCAAATATGGATTGTTCATATAGTTAAATAAAAATAGAATAGAAATAGGAACCATTTCAAATATTAATCATACTATCTCATATTAGTCCTCCTTCGAAATAATCCACCTGGTTTACTTTTTGTTTGGTGACCCGTCAAAGATCCCTTCCATATTGGATATATACCCAGCAGACAATAAGCGTTTGTGGTATTTTTCGAAGCTTAGACGCCGTAGGAACTACCTGTATTTCAAATATTAATCATTGTATCTCATACTAGTCCTCCTTCGAAATAATCGAAGTGCCATCTCAATTACTTTTTGTATGGTGGACTATCAACGACACCACCCATGGTGCGTATATACCCAGCAAACAATAAGGGTATTTTTGAAGACACATGCAGAGTAATGCATCACTTTCCAGATTTTTTGTCGCCGCAATGCCTAGCAGGTCATCGTGGCAAGGCGTACCATTTTAGAGCTTTACACCTGAGTGCAGCGTTGCATCCTGTTCATGCACTGTACACGAATAAGTAACAGACTGAATAGGCTATAGCACTACTTCTTTATGCATAGTTTAAAGGGGCATTCTGTTTCGTAGGGTGAATTTTTTTTTTTGCTCAAATTTATGAAAACTCTATACCAAAACCTAGAAAATTATGTCCTTGAACTAATATGAAAGTTTGACTAAAACAAGTTCTGCTGCTATAAAACATTTACGTTAACTTTTAAGAGTTCACAATGCTTTTGGGAGGTGTTTGAAAACTACTGAGCAGTTCTAAGAAAAATAAACACCTAATTGTAGAGATATATGTCTCCTACGTATTTTAAAGGTTTTAACTAAAAATATCGAGTCAAAAGTAATATAAGCTGGTTACATAACAATTGGTACCCCTTGTGTTTAATTAACCCCTTTAAAACAGATTCAAATAGATGCATAGGTAAAAATGGCATATCTCTCAAATATTTTCAGGTATAAATAACTACAATGAAAATCTTGCATACTGCAGAATCGCTATATGACAGAGGAGCTTACTCGACTATGCAGTGGGTTGAGTATGTGGTGGAAATAACAAGCATAGTAGAAATTTATATACAAGTAATTACAAACGACATACATATAAAGTACATCAAATAAAGCCGTCGTACATTCAGGGTAGCTACCACGACCTGAACGCGTGGTTTGGTTTATATACCCAGACATCGGCTGCTGATTGGTGGAGCGCACACGTGCATTCATAACAAACTATTGCACGCATTTGGCCTCGTTCCTTCGTTGGTTAACGATGTTGACTCGGAAGTTGTTGTACAAATATAACTGTACAATCAAGACTGTAAACAAGGGATAACAGTATCGTTTGTTCATTGTTCACGCTTGGTTCATTCGTCAGCAGTGTTGCGCCGATTTTGCGCACTGGCCACACGACATGAATTTATGCGTGCCAAATTTTTGAACATTTTTAACTTCTCTCTACGACATATCATACACCCCTCGCACACTCCTAGCGCCCACTCCTAGCGCTCATTCACACAGACTTTTATCATCGAAGTGCGGATTATTCTGCGAACAGAAGTCAGTGTGACTTTAGAATGATGTGTAGGCCTACAGTAGGTTATTTGAGGTACATGTTAACATATTTTCTGAGGGATTACATTGGTAATGGTGTATAAAAATGTAGACGAGTTTTTCAACGCGAATGTTGCATTCATTCACGTGATAGAGAAGATAAAATATATCCAGTCTGGTAGACAGGCATTTCATCGGACACAGGTGTTCTGAAAATAGGGTTTGAAAGACTGTCGGACCTAAATGAACGTATACACCTTATCAATTTATATAATTAGCTAAATTAAAACAAGGCTTTAATTTGCTTATAATCGGGAATAGTCTGTTTGCGGTGGATTTTTCTAATAATTTCAGACGTTTATATCATATATATTGATAAAACATGTAAAAATTCAATGCCAATTTGACCCCAAGGTACCTGATGGATATTGTGTTTAATATGTGATGTGGCCGCTGTGAAGGGTTCTATGTGGGTATTAACGTGATTTAAACAAATTCATATCAGGTAAGGCAGCCCTGAATGGGGCATGGTTACAGATCCCCGTTTGGTGTAACCGGTGTGCTAAGTAAGGTACTAACAATGCCTTATGGGCTGCCTGCATTGAGTTGTCTCTTTTTAAAAAAAACAGTGGTATTAAATGACAAACATTGTACCCTGCTTGGCGTGAGAACTAGCAGCATAGGGACAAGAGAAATATCTGCTACCACAAAACATCACAGGAACTGTATTTGGTATCACAAAACACCAGAGGAACTTATCTGCTACCACAAAACATCTCAGGAACTTATTTGGTAACAAAAAAAAAACAGAGGAACTGTATTTGGTACCAAAAACATCACAGGAACTGTATTTGGTATCACAACACATCACAGGAACTTATTTGGTATCACAACACATCACAGGAACTATATTTGACACCAAAAACACCAGAGGAACTGTATCTGCTACCACGAAACATCACTGGAACCGTAATTAGTACCAACAACACAAGTGGAACAATATTTGATACCATGGAATATCACAGGAACTGTATTTGGTACTACAAAACATCACAGGAACTGTATTTGGTACCAAAAATCACAAGACGACTGTATTTGGTACCAAAAATCACAAGAGGACTGTATTTGGTACCACAAAACATCAGTGGAACTATATTTGGTACCAAGAAAAACCACCAGAGGAACTGTATTTGGTAACAGAAATCATGACAGGAACTGTATTTGGTACCAAAAACACCAGAGCAACTTATTTGGAACCACAAAACATCACAGGAACTGTATTTGGCATTAGAAAACATCAGTGGAACTGTATTTGGTACCAAAAACACCTGAGGAACTGTATCTGCTACCACCAAACATCACTGGAACTTATTTGGTACCAAAAAAAAAACCAGAGGAAATTATCTGCTACCACAAAACATCACAGGAACTGTATTTGGTACCACAAAAACAGAGGAATTGTATCTGCATAAAACATCACTGGAACTTATTTGGTACCAAAAAAACACCAGAGGAAATTATCTGCTACCACAAAACATCACAGGAACTGTATTTGGTACCACAAACACAGAGGAATTGTATCTGCATAAAACATCACAGGAACTGTATTTGGCACCAAAAAACACCAGAGGAACTTATTTGGTACCAAAATAATAAACTCCAGAGGAACTGTATTTGGTATCACAAAAATAAACTCCAGAGGAACTGTATTTGGTATCACAACACATCACAGAAACTTATTTGATATCAGAACACATCACAGGAACTGTATTTGGTATCACAACACATCAAAGGAACTATATGTGATACCAAAAAACACCAGAGGAACTGTATCTGCTACCACAAAACATCACTGGAACTGGTACCAACAACAAAAGTGGAACAATATCTGATACCATGGAATATCACAAGAACTGTATTTGGTACTACAAAACATCACAGGAACTGTATTTAGTATCACAACACATCACAGGAACTATATTTGACATCAAAAAACATCACAGGAACTGTAAATGGTACCACAAAAAACAGAGGAATTGTATCTGCTACCATAAAACATCACAGGAACTGCATTTGGTACCTTAAATGTCTGTTAGATGTAGTAATAACCTCGCTGTACTAAAATCTAACTACTTAGGAAGGCATCTTTAAATTCGGTTTTGCTTCGTGGTCACTGTTTCAACAAATAGAAAATAACTCTCCTATAAATCTAATAAAATGTTTATTTTAGTTGTAATAGTTCTATTGTATTCAAATATCTTAATGAGGGCTGACCGCTTGACTGATATATACGTCAAAAATCGCGAAATTCAATTTTAAAATAACGTCTGCGCAATTGTGTGTGTCCATTGTTGTTGGCGTAGAAAGGTGTTAATTGTTTGTCGTCAGATGTTACTCAAGATTTGCAATATAAAAAAGTGAACAGTGTTTCAGTAGACCATCCTATCTTCGACAATTACAATCAACATATCAACTTACTTTCAGCATGAAATTGGGCTTTATATTAATTGCACTGGTGGTAAGTTGTATGTTAGTCGAGATGTTGGCAATGTGTCGAGAAAAAAAAGGTATGTCATTATAAAGTTTTATGAAGAAAAAATGTTTAAGTTCCATACTTCATACATTGTCAATATATCGCTCAATACGCAGGAAGCGCTTACGTGGGCCCTTTCCGTTTGATTAACGGTACGAACTCGCGTATGTGCTAAAGAAATAAAAGAAAGATAACCACAGCGTTCAGTACAGTGTACAGTATTTGTCTGTACACTTTATAATATCAAAAATCGGACTTCATCCAGCTTTGTTACTTTCAGAATTGTGGCGAAAATATCAGGAAGCGTACGACATCAATGATTACAATGAAGAAAATCTTTTATGCTCGAATTAACAAGGAAGTCTCGAATGGATTCAATGGTACTTACCTGATCAATGGGTAAGCTTAAAAACGATTTCTCTCAAGAATTCAGATGGGAAATTATAAATCACCGTCTTCATGATCATGCATAACAATGCCAAAGCTTGTTTTGGATTTTTGTCTACTCTGTCCAACATCGTCAAACATTTGTATGACGATGTACGACCGTGTAAGACCGAAAATGGAGAGAAGATACTATTTTTGGAAGGAAAGCAATTAAACATGCATACTCGAAGCAGATTGTTGCTGCATCATTTTCGTTGCAAATGTTCGCTAATGGGAAAGGGACTGGCTCCAAAGAAGAGACTCTTCAGGTGTTATTGAATGATTCACAGTTGACCCATCGAATTAAAAAAAATTTAGCAAAAATATTAGCAAAGATGCTACCGTAAATAATCCATTCACTGTTCACCCTTTATCCGTGCTGTCACATGGGGAGGCAGTCACATGTTATATACGACTGTTTATTTGATAGATAACTAATTTAGATATTGCCAACTTTTTGTTGGGAAGATGAAACATGCAGCTAATAATTTGAAGAACGTCTTACATGTTCTACCATGTTCAAAGTTGTTGGGAAACACGATCAACCATTTATCTACTAACACGGTCATACAATTGTTTGGCGATGTTTTGAACAAATGTTTAATCGTGTTGACGGGGCTTTAAACGTTGCTTGATACAGCAAAATTATTTTATATTAACAGCGTCATTTAGTTTTTTCTTCTACTTTCGTTAGTTTCTTTCAGTTTTTCGGGTGTTTACATCTCATTGACATCGATTATATTTTTCCCACGATAAGATTTCAATTTCTCAGATATTTTGTTTAAGATTATTTCTGTTATCAAATGAAGATATTGTTCCTGCATAATGTGTCTATCGCAAAAAAACATTTAGACATATAGTAAATATACCCATTTCTGTTGAATTTTTTCCGGGACTGCTTGTGGACACAAAAGAAAACTTGAAAAAATTATTAATTCTCCATTTTATTTTTCTGTGTTCATTTTACAGAGAGACGTTTGAACTACCAGTGGCTTCTACAGGGGTATTTCTTTACACTGACGAAACAATACCATATTGGTTTTCGTCATTTGGAAGGATGATCATCTATCATTTCTTCTATGAAAGTCCATTAAAAGTATGAATCAACAATTCGTAATCACTTAGGCTAGTACATAAAGGGCTCTCACACCATAGCGATCACGTACGTTTGCGAAAAAAAATACGGTTATAAGTTTCGAACACAACTCCCATACAACAGAGTGGTGAGCTGTGTTTGGTACTGATGACCATTTTCATAATTCGCAACTATACGCAACTAGTAATCTCTATGGTGTGAGGGGGCACTTAAAAGAGTGTAATGCCTTTTGGAGAGGTACCCAGGAGAAAATTGTGGGTGATTATAATGTAATTTAATTTTGTAATTAAAACTTTTTGAGGGTAGGCCTATGTGTGGTGTCCAAAGACGACCACTATGCATTGTCACCCTTAGATGTGCGCAAGTTGCCTGTTGTGCACATTATGTTTTATCACGTTCATTATCTATACATATTTTTCATACCCCCACAACTTATAAGGTGTAAATATATCGTAGTCTTCCCCGTCTGTCTCTTGGGCTTTCACGTTCAGTCAAGGATTAAATTGGAAGCCTAAAATAAGTGAAAATTTGAAAATAAATGTTTTTAAATTAAAGATTTAAGGTGTTTTTGATCAAACTGTAAAGAAATATGTTGGTTTCAATGTGTAATTACAGATATCAAGATTATATGAGAACGGTACAATAAATGTGCAGTATCTTGGAAATAAATTTGATCCCTTGTGTGAAAACCTGAACTGTTAATATGAACTGATATTTGATCAGGTGTCTATTCAGAAGAAAGAGTTAGTAAATCAAAGTGGATGGTGCATGTTTGTCTCGGTCTTGGCACCTTACCCTCAAGGTTCGTAATGATTATGTTCTCAATAACCAATTGTTCTTTGGAAACTTTTCCGAATGATGACAACACTAGTGGAGAATGTCAAATTTTCGGCATACATGCGTTTCTAACGCCACATAAGGTGAGCGTTTGGGGTGGGGGAGAGTATCCTGTACTTCCTTTAAGCATGAGTGTAAGTTGTCTATCAATAACATAATGAATGATACAACAAAATACTTTTAGGCCAACTCTACTGAAACCATGCATCATATATGAAAATGAAAATGCCAATACTTATATAAATAGAAAGAAGAGGTGTTCTAATGACTTGGAAAAATAGCAGTTGGTCTCACATGTCCATAATTAATTCATAATTTGCTAAATTAGAAGAGAATTACAAGCAGAATTCCAAGGAGTGACCGATCAAAAAAGGTCAATAAGTCTTTTTTTTTTTTTTATCCAGACTGTACATACATGATCATTTATGACAGGTTAAAACTCTTAATTATATGCAATAAGAACATGATATGATAAAGAATACACATAATTCATTAAAAAATAAGGAAACCCATCTTTAACATAATATATTGATTCAACATTGATCATTTATACCATTTCAGGAATAGAAGGAACACGGGTGAGGATTTCTGATTCAAAGTTGAGATGTGAATTAGATGGAGTAACCAGTATTCCTTAAAACATCACAGACTTGAAAACACTCTTTGAGTGAAATAAAATTATTGCATTTTACTTCCCATGATCATTTCCTTATATGCAGTCAGTAACACACTAGTAGTAATTTTCTATCTATTGATGTATTCCAATGAAATGAAATCCACAGTTCCTACTTGGTCAGTGCTTCTATAAGAGAATTTCTCTTATAAAACCTTATACTAGTCATGGCATAGTATATTATTCAGTGCACTTTCCTCTTGTCAGTAATGCATATTGGGATGGAGAGATCGGGGGCGTCATGGAAAGAGCGTTTAGTTGAGCTGATGGAACAGTCTTATCCATGTGTATCCATATTTATCCAAGGATGGAGAACATAGGATTTTTTTAAATATAACTCAGATAACTATATAAGTCAGATATCGTTCAGATCCTGTAAAAAATCTTTTATAATATATGTTGTTGCTCGTATAGTCCTCTCAAGCTTTGTACAATTAAGACTCACGATACAAGAAAAGTACGTTCTTCTTTAATTTATCATTTCAATATACTAACTATTGTGAAGAATTTACAATAAATAATAAATACAGTGATTTAAAAATTTCAAATTACAAGGATTCGCTCCTCTAAATTTCAATTTAATCATTCAAAAGATTCGAATTTTTGGTAGAACTTGAATTAGATGGTACAGTAGTTATTAGATTACTGTGATCCTTTGATCTAAAAATTCTAAAAATCTCTAATATTACAATATAATCATAACAAATTTCATTTAAAATTGTAAAAAAAATTCTGTATGTATAACTATCAAACAAAAATGTCCAAAACAGAGACTAACTTCAAAATCTTACATAGAGAAGCTTTCTAATTTTAATAGCAAAAGGGTCCAAAATCAAGAATTTATCAAAAAGTGTGATCTGATTGGTTTCCAAGCATTTCAGTGATAAACCAATCAGATGACTGGAACACTTTAAACATCCTTTATATCAAAATTTTACAATTTGACATCACAATAAAGTTAAATCTTATATTTTTGAAAATATATACCCGTACTTTGTAATAAGTGGGGTTAAATAAATGTATTTCCATCATTGCACACTGCCTTGTAGACTTGTCAGAAGGAGAGAAGTAAGAAATATAAATCTTATGTCCAATTCATTGAAACTTTATACCAAGACCTGGCACATATCTATAAACTTACATAATAAATAAACATGAATATGAATTGAGTCTTGAAACCTTCACATTGCATCTAATGCCCTTCTTCATTCTTATAACAATCAGGTGAAACTCAGACATAATCAAGCTTCAATTGATTTCATTTACATCTCAAATAACCAAGCCTTGGTATAGTTAAAGTTTGTGGACAAGAATATTATTTGTGAGCATAGTTAAACTGATTTCCAAATTTATCACGAATACGTTTATAATCTGCAGCATCCAATCTAGAAGTTACTCTCTTCATAGCTGTCCTGTAATTAGATTAAATATAATAGTAAAACTGTTGTATACTGTTGGGATCAGGTTAGACTATCAGGTCTATCAAGTATATATCAAATTTTATTATAGATAGTAGAAAGTAATTTCTGAAAAGTAGATAGGCTTCTAATATCCAAAGTCAGTTAATTACAACGCTTCAATATAATTCTTTTTTAATTCTAAAGCCTTAAGACTATAGTATCAATACCAAAATATTTCACTGTTAAAGTAGTGCTCAATACATCATTGTAGAGTGATATAGAAATATTAAAACAGAACTTGAAACATATTGTTATGAGAAAAGTTTTTCAATGAGTAATGTAACAATTTTACATGTTTTGGTTGTTCCTTTGGATTTGAAACAGTTAAAAAGGCAGTGCTCTTCTAATAACAATTGGCTTCAAACAGAAACAAAATATTCTCACTGTTAAAATTGTGCTCTGTACAAGAGTGATATATAAATATGAACTAAACAAAATTCAAACTATTGAAACTGTTACCTATTAAATACTTTTTTCTCCAGTCTGTTTCTGGAGGTATTTTTTATTTCTTTTACATCAGTTAAATTCTCATATTTCTTATTTTTCTTTTTGCCTTTTCCTTTCCCTTTAGAGGAACTGGAACCAAGATCTATACCTAAAGCTCCTTCAATGTCTTTCTCTAGTTCATGATCTCTCCAATCAGCCATTTTACCTGTAATATAAACCTGATGCATATATCCCATCCCATGAGAAAAGATGATAACTTTGATTTAAAATCTCCTTTAATGTCAACACATTTTCCAATTTCATCAAAAATGTTCAAATCAACTTTTAATCAGACATAAGGTCCTATCCAAATAACTAAATACATGTTATCTCTTAGACATAAGATTGCATTCACCCAATTCAATGCAAAATCATAGAAAATAACAAAATATCAAACCAGACAATCTACACACCTTCAGTCTTCAACAGCTGCTCTTTTATTTTCAGTTCAACATCGTTTTCACTAGTTGGCTGACCTGTTTTATCTCTGCCTATTATTTTACCATGAAATGGACACTGTTAAAGAAGAAAATGTTGGTGATTAAGTTTGTTACACAGTAGGATTATATATAAATTCATGATATCTTTAATCCAGGCCTGTGCAACCTACGGCCCGCGTGGTGATTTCGTGCGGCTCGCAGCGTTATGTAAAATTTGAGAGAAATGTGGCCGGCAAGCAAATGCTTCGTTTGCTCTTGCTTGTCACTGTCGGTGTGGCCCGCAGATTGTCGCTGCCTATTCTGATTCGAAACCTGTTATATCCGCGCTCTTATATCAAAGTATGACGTCAAAATGAATCTAACAAATCAAATCATTAACGAGGTCTGACCTCTAATATGTCTGTTATTTGCATATTGAAATACGTTATTGAATAAATGACTCTTAAAAATTGCATGTTTCTCATTAATTCCATGATTCATTGATGGTTGGTTACGTGGCCCACGGCCTATTCGCATACCCCATATGTGGCCCGCCGTTACGAAAAGGTTGCACAGGCCTGCTTTAATCCATGCATTCTATTGTAATTTGTCAATAACGTGACCAATTTGTAAGTTAGGCTGACTGAAGTAAGACAATTCCAAGTATGTTTTTATTGGGATAATTATCTAGGGTACACTCAGCAAGAGAAATTTTAATACAGACAGAGGAATTAGCTTACTAAGTGACAAGGAGATTTATACACCAAGCAGCGAAAAAAATGTAGCTGTTAATGTTTAAGAATAAGATATCATAGCTACGTCCAAAAATTATACAAGGTTTACATAACCAGATGAAAGACATACAAAATTCAATACCTTTTCTCTATCCATTCTTTGACACAGTGAACCATTAGGTAAAGGAGTTCTACAAGACCATGAAACTGGTACAAACTTGCCAGGGTAGTGAAAGGTTCGAGTTGTTAAAGCCTTTACATCATGCTGAAATGATATTTACCAGTATATCAATTGCTGAAAGAATATATACACCTAGTCTGCAGAGATATAGTTATAAACCAAAAAGATATTTACTCCTCAACTTAAAACATTCTCTTATAATAATAATAATATTAATCAATTTATTAGGGTAAGAAGACATTAACATTCTTTTTTAACCAAATAAGAATCTATTTTGAATCAGTCTTACATAATGGACTAATGTCTGCCCTAACTTTCTTTCATTATATACATCAGTTAATAGTTTCTTGACAATGATGTAAGAGATTATCTTCTTATCCAGATGAGACCTATACTATTTTTGAAATTGTTAACAGCCTAGTAAAAGATATATAGCCAAAACTCATGTAAAATACAATATAAGTCACCAACATGAAACCTTATGATGCAAAATAAGCTCTCTTCTTACTTTAGATGCAGAATCCTTTTCGATTTCAAATTCTGCCGGTCTCCAAATGGAGGAATCATTTCTGAAAATAGAAGAATATATCATAGTAAGGGTGGATTGCTTCATCCCTAAAAACTTAGAGAGGATAACTTCTTATTCAAAACTAAAAGGGATACTTTCATCCCTGAAGACTAAAGGGGAATAATTTTTACTGAAGATTAAAGGGAGATAATTTGATATAAAGCTATTTGAATAAACCACTGTCTTATCAATTAATAATAATTATTATTAATTAAAATTATCAGATATGAGAAAATACCATATACATATAACTTATTTTTTTTTGTAAACATTATTTTATTCATGAGAAATGGATTAGGGAACAGACTTTCACCTATATGACCATGACCCTTTATAATATACTGATATAACTTACTTCAGGACCATAGGTTTCTCTATTTTGTCTTGATTTTCCCAGCATTCAATATCTGGACCAAAAGGAACAATTGGTATACTATTTTGAGATTTACTGTGTTTAGTTTTGGAGGTACTTGGTTGATTATGTTCATCTGTTATTCCTAGTTTATGAAGATTAGCTGCTCTAGAGGTAGGGTCATCAGTGGAGGTAGAAGTATTACCCATTGTCCAATCTTTAACTGTCCTTTTTCTGCCTCTTTTTTTCTTCGGATCTTCTTTCAAACCCATTTCTATCAAATAGATAAAGAGACATACTTTAATAATATTATTGTTGTTCATGGAATTTTTATAAATCTAAAGAGTATGTAATAAAAATATTTCGATATCCAGCATTTTCTCAGGGAAATATCTTAGTGGGGAGGTGGATTGTCTTCTGATTGACAATTAGGTGCCATTGGACAATCTGGTGCCACAGCCTGTGCTTTCGAGAGTCGGCCTCGTGTCAACTTCTACAACTAATAACCCAATTAAGGGATCTAAGTCAATTTTACCACCGATCTAATGAGTACCACATATAACATATTAATCATTATTCTTGTGGTGAAACTAAAGCATTAAATGGTTCCTATCCATCTTTCTTACTCAATGTACTTTTTAAATGTTATATTGTCTAACATATTATCTTGTGCACAAAGAAATAACATATTTAAATAACATGTATGAGAGTTCAATAACAGTGGATTGTTTACCTGTAGCTGTTAATAGATATAAAGGTACTTCAGCTTCATAACCTTCTTTCTCTGGTACTTCTTCAAACTCAGAATCTTCATCCTCGTCTATATTCATAGAAACATTTTACATTGAGAGTAGGACTGTTTAATTGGTTCATTGTTACAATGGTGAATACTTCTGGTATACGTTTTGTGTCTTTCTAAATTCACAAAACCATATTCATCCAGATTCATGTATTTAGCAACCTCTAAACTGGGCACAAAACCACAGTAATAGATAACTGATACAGAGTATATGGTATATTCTCTGATGCTAATTTTCAAAGGGGTAAAATCCAGTCCACAACTAACCTGATTCAATTGCTACAGCTTCTTTTGTTAACTTCATTTCTACACTCTTATCTACTAATGTTTTTAATTTACTTTTTAAATCGACTAAATGTTTCACTTTATCATCATTCTCACCAGCCTTTGTTAAAATCTGTAAAAGAGAAAATTTTCTAAATTTATCATGTGTATCAGGGTCAATTTTCACCAATCCAATTTTCAATCAAATGTCTGTGGTTCCTTAATTCCACTAAAACTAAGTGTTTGATAATCACGAAGGGCCTTATATGATTGAAATATATTTTATATGTGAGTTTTACCTCCTACTCTTCTGCACCATGTGAGCTAATGAAGATGGCAACATCATGCAGGGTACAATGAGGGAAATTTTTCCAGGACAGCTACATAAGCCTGCTCTTTTTTTCGATTTCCGACTATTGAGGGATCTTTAACATGTACAGCATGTAACCTTGGTTTATTCTCCCAAAAAACTCCCATTTCGAGAGCCCATTATATTAGTTTAAGAAACAAGAATATATTGCAAATTATTGACATAAATATTGAAAGTGAAAGAATGTATACATCTAAATATAAGGAGCCATACCTCTAACCATTTTGTAAATTTCAATAAATATTTTTTCCGTGCCAGTTGAACAGAATCATGTAAAGTTCTGAATATATCTTTATTGTCCTCTGTTTCTTGGATCACAAAATTGTCAGAACTGATTTTAATATCGAGGTTGTATTTCCGCGTTCCAAGACCAAAATCAGACACAAATGCTGTTTGATCATTGAGATTTGGTTCCATGTCACTATCATTGTCACTATCAGCATCACTATTTTCACCTGATTGGTCTTCTACCTGAGATTCATTCGGCATGTTATCATTAGTTTCACTATTTTTAGAACCACTTGGATCCTCAGAATTATTTGTGCACATCCTTTCAGTCTCAATAACTGAAGAGTTTAGTTGAAGAGCACTGTGGTTTATATAATCATCATTGTCAGTATCACCTTCATTCAAAATAAAGAAATCATCAGGTTTGGGTACCAGCAGGTTTAAACAATTTTCTATCTCAGTAATACATGTCTCAATTTCAGGGACCATATCTGAATTAAGACAAATGGAGTCAGTAAAACGTTTATTGGACAAATTTTACTCAAACAAAGTCAAAACTATATGATTCAATAACATCATCCAGTTTTAAGCACTCATGAAATCATTATATATTTCTACTATATTTCATTACTTTAGTATGTAAACCTCACACTATCAACATGGCTCCATTTTCATGGTGGTTAATGATAGTAAAATATTTGTATTGATTACATCACAAGGCAATACTCATGAATCATTTATGAGTATGAAAAAGGGTTGTTTGATGTTTCCACTTTTTGTATCGACTATCAAAGTCTGAACATGATGTTGAGAATGAATTACCTGTCATTTCTTTCAGAACCTTGTCTAATTTTTGATTTAAGACAATTCTTTTTTTTCTTTCTATTTCCTCTTCTCTTCTTCTTTCAGCTAGAGTTCTATTTCGGATATCATTGAAATCAACCTAAAATGTTTAAAAATTACTATAAAATATAAATTTTTTACAGGGATTCTATTGTAACTTTATGACACCAGGTAAGTTCACTGATGAATATATACTCATATTGACTATTCTTGAGAACTAAATTTTATGTTCATTCTAAGACGTAGTATCACTTTAAAAGCTCATAGTTTTAGTTGGATATTACTAATATCTTTAGTTGGTCTGTCTAACCTAGTTTGTGTGGATAAAACATTATTACTTTAGAAGTAACCCAGAATGACACAGCCCAAATGCTAAAGAAATAAACTCATACAAATTCAATGTCAGTAAGATAAATTCAATTTAAAAAAAATCCAAATTAACTGACCATTTTACAAGATTTTAGGAAGTTATATCCCAAAACCAATTTTTTATAGGCTTCCCCAAACTTCTCAAACCATTGCTGTATAGACTTTAATGTTTCTGCTCGTAATGTTCTAGATATTGCAATTGGAGCAGGTAGTGGTAAATCATGATTTATTCCTGAAATACAATAGTTATATCATTATAATGCTATGCAAATCAAGGATAGACTTCCCTTTCTACATATAATAGAGTTTCAATACATTCATATTAAGGTAGGTTATATCCATGTAAGGAAGTGAAGAAAAATTGAATCTTCATGCAGCGAATTGCTAATTGTGAGAAATTGTTGCGAGTTTTTATTTATTTTATTTTTATTTAGATTTCTTATTCATATAATATTCCCCTTTAAGCTGATGGATAAAGCAATTATGATGCTAATCTATTCATTTAATACCTATTTATGCAAAATAAGGGAAAATCTGAAAATGCAACTTACCCACAGTTAGTTCTAAAAATGTTTGGAATTCAGAAACAAGTAAATCTCGAAAACAATGTGATCTATTGAATAATTCATCTATTATCTTGAAACAGGACAGTCTTATTTCAGCATGATCTTTCTCCAATGTACTCATCAACAAATGATAAGCATGCTTCACATAAATATCAGATATCCTAAAATAGAAACCATATAATGAGCTTGTATCTACTTTAACAGATCTTTAGTTTTAATTTATTAAAACCTGGAATGCTAGTACATATATATGCAATAAACTCTGAGGTGAGACATGAAAAAATAGCTCAATAAATATATCTAACCTGCAAATTTTCTTTAATTTCTTCATTAATGACTCATCTACAGTTTTCTGCCCAGATAGAGTTATTTTCTCTATATATTCTGACATCTCCTCACATAAATTATGATCTAAACAACTAGCACTTGTCGAAGCCATGGCTCTTAAAAATAGAATTTAAATTATCAAAAGTTTGTAAGAAATGCTTATTCTACCGCAACGCACAATAATGACCAGCATGTGAAACTGAAGCTTAACAAAAAATAAATCATGCCAGTTGAAGATGTATCGCAATAGTGTTCAGAACTATTTTGATGAATAAATTGTTGTAAAAAAATTTGCTGACAAGGCATAGCTGTGCTCTCAACCAACAAAACCTTAATTTGATAAAGTCTAGTTTTCCTAAATAAAATAACATTTGACCTTTAATTGGTGTAGAGCTATCAAGCTTATAACTATGTTAACTGTATGATTTCCACATAATCAAACAATTTGATGATTTAATTTCCTTAAAGGGGCATTCTGCTTTTTTAGTGGGTCAAAATTTTGTATGCTCAAATTTGTGAAATCAATACACCAATATCTAGAGAAATGTGTCCCTTACATATCTGAAAGTTATAACTAAAAATTTTAAATATTTAAAAACATTATGTAAGTTTACGTTAACTGTTAAGGTGTGTTATGCTTTTTTACAGCTGTTAGAAAACTACTGTACGGATTTCAGTAAAATAATTGCCTAATTGAAAAGAAATATGTCTCCTACGTATTTTAAAGATTTCTACAAATGATATCAAGCAATTATGAAGCCAAACACCAAAACTTTTTCAAACTGCTTAATTAACAATTAGTATTCTCCGTTTTTGATTGATCGATTTGATCAAGTAAATAACATACTACATAATTATTTTCAGGTATAATGTAAGACTTTAATTGATAATGAAAATGTTTTACAAAAAAGCAGAAAGCCCCTTAAGTTTAACGGCTTAGAACTTAAAATATACTTCCTAACCTATGCTTTGTTGGGGTTTTTGGAATAGAAATAGAAATACAGGAACCACAGGACAGAGTTTTGGTAGAATCAAATGGTACGAAAAGGCATTTTTTAAAGACATGTATGAATTTCAATTTTCAACCTATTTATCAAATGATCTGCTGTCAAAATGTCAATGATGTGCAAGGATTGAGGCCTGCATCTATGTCACTGCTGCACAAACTCAGCAATCCTTGGTTCTCACATTGAAGGTAATGTTCCCCCTTCATAGATCACAACTCAAATAACTGTAAAAGATAAAACGGGCATGTATATTTAGTGTATTTGCAAGTGTTGTGCAATCTGCGATTTTCTTTTATTTACATCGCCATCTTGGTTCATCAAACTATATGAATTTGATTTTACTGTAACAGAAAACGATTTTGAAAGCAAAATTTCTAAAGCAATACCAGAAATTAATAAAGATGTTCATTTTAAATCTAATAATGTCAAAATTGATTGAAACAATGATAATGAGAAAAATATTCTCTCTTAAATTCTTCTATTACAGAAAAAACAAATTTTTCGTTTAGTTCAATAACTATAGAATGACAAATTAACAAAATGGCGTCCGCAAGTTGGAATCATGAAACAAAAACGCGTTTGAATGAGAAAATAGCCACAAACATAAATGATATTGGTTCATTGACGCGTCAAGTTATAAGATCATCTAAGTCTACGGAAGTATGTATTATTAGATACGTTAATATAACCTCAAAATGATTGACATTTGTTTTGTGAAAGTAAAAAAGTAAAGGGGGGGGGGGGGGGGGGGGGGGGGGTGGTGTGGTGATAGACAATTGTACGAATGTGGCTATAGAATGATATACTACATAATTGACCATTAGCATTATGCAATAAGTGCATGGCTTGGAATTGAACGAAACCATAATAAGCCATTTCAAAAATATTACGTGCATTCCCAACGCACTAATTTCCTACTTCCGCCTCAGGATAAATGACATCGATTCACAATGGAAGTCTATGGAAAAGGATCTTATGCAAAGGGTTTTGTCATGTCACAGAGTTAGTTTTTCTCACAAAAACAACTACTCTGTTTATCTGATGGAAAAAATGGTCTGTCAGCATTTCCAGGCTAACAAGGAGATCGCTACAGGGCCATATTTCTTTTACTTTTATAAAATATACTTTTTCCCATCGTTTCTTATAAACAAATGAACTAAATAGTGCTATGAGCAAGCTCATAAATTCTTATATAATCTTCTTAGTGACATAAAAATCAGATAATTCGAAAGTTTCATATTTCCAATTCTACCAGTTATTTATAAGAACCTTCATACAAATTTTTATTCACTTTCACCTTTTTGTTAGTCCTGAGGACGCTATCTCAGTTTTTCTCCTGAAAGGAACACAAGCCACCTTAGTGTGAGTTTTCGTTTTTTATCATTTATTAAACCTTTTTTAAAAAGAAGACAATGTATTTCATGAATATTTTTATAAGAAATAGTGTATTTTTATTAATGATTTAATATTGACAATACCATTCTCATTTGTATATGTATTTATAATCCCACATTCTTTATGTAAATTGTATGAAATCCCCTTTTTTATTTTTTCAGCTTTTTACCCTTTAATCTGTTCTTTCGACTTTTTATGGGATAACGTTGTCCAAGATTATACTTGGCCATACTCATGATATGATATACGCCTTGAACTGAGAAAAACTTGCTTTAGACAACGTTCTGAATTATAAATGGATAACTGTCAATGTAGTTAACCCATTATTTTCCATCATTGACTGCCAGTAAATAGACATTGTTTATTCTAAGGTGGAAGTAGGGATTTAGGGTGTCAGGCATGCACACATACTGGATTATTTTAATGCCAGACCTATCATTAAATTATTGAAAACATTAAACATTAAGATAGTTCCTACTAAAGGTAGACAATAAAGATGGGTAGACAATCTAATCATTTAGCCTAAAATAACAGAGGATGTGAGGGCATACCATACATAAGATTTATTTTTCTTTGATTTATCTACCTTTTCCATTTCTTCCAGTTATTGACACAAGCTGCCAAGAATTTTGCATCTCAAGAGAATTGTATTGTACACACAATGGAGGTAAGTTGAAGACATACTTTGAATTTCTCATTTTTTTTTCACATGTGAAAGACATTGTGTAATTAATGTATATATGTCATACCTAACCGTTTAAGACTAGCTTGGTAATTTAGATTATTGCCCTTTCATAATTATAATGTGGATGTCTTTGTAGAATATGAAGAAAATGGATGCTGTTAAAGCTCAGCTAGAATTTCAGTAAGTTTGTCCTTTAGTATTTGCAATTAATATTAAAAGTGTTACTGCATATAATGACATCATGCATTATGATGACACTGACTGTTAAAAACTTTAGTAATTAAGTTGATGATATCTGCATCTCATTACAAGCAGAAATTGGTATTAAAATCCATTCTCTCAGTGTTCAATATTTTTGAAAAAGTTATATTTGATAGGCATGGTATGAATTTTTCAAAATATGTGATAACTGAACTCTATTTCTCCTTTATTTTATTTTCAGTCAATCTGGCATAGACAGAAAGTAAGTTTTTATATTGGAGATGGTTCTCTTATTTTAAACAATTTGAAATATGAAAATTGTATGAATGCTACACCATTATGATGGCAATTTCTTGGCAGGGAAGTTGATTTAACTGTATTTACCTGTGATATCTGAATATATCTCCAAAACGCCCAACTGACGAGAATGTATTCAAACCAATTGTACCTAAAAACAATTAATGAAAATCTTTTTTTATTTTTTAGTTTTAAGTTATTAGATGATATACAAGATCAGTTGTTACTCATACAAAGATGAACAATGCAACTTGAGAAAATGAGCTTTATTTGTGTGATGTGCAATATTCATTTCATTTCAACGTTTTATCTATGAAGCATTTTAAACATCAGCCTTGCTTGTCATCTCATTCATATTGGTGGTTTTGAAATTCTGATTATTGGTGCTTATGATCCAATCTGGGAAAAGGAGATTTTTTTGATGATGATTGAATGTACTGAATCAAAAAAATTATGTCACTTGTTCTACAGATTTAGTAAAACAAGTTTTACAATTATTGCATATTGACTTCTTTTATTAAAGTGGTTACCTCCCCTTAATAATGTAGACATTGGATAATGAAAGCATGCTTCTGATAGCATGATAGTTCCAGACCCAATCAAGTTGGAGACTTGTTGAAGACTTTTTTTCTCATAGACTCAAGAGAAGGAAATAATTTGAGTGTTATACATTCCAATGTATTTGTTTCCTCTTTGCTTTGTTGTATGTATTTTTGTCATGTAGTATAATATTAAATTAATTACCAGGAATCAATGCTATGAGAGTATATAACCATCCTATGTTTATTTTGTCTGAATTTAGAAATAGTAGTCATTTCTAATTTTCATAAATAAACAACATTAATGATGAATTAATACTGTAAATTTACAGTTAGCCTTTTGGCAAGTTAAAATAGTCTAACAAAGATATTTGAAAATGGGGGCTTGTTTGGAAATGTTTCAAACAGCTAACCCAAATTGCCATCTTTTATGTTGAATAGCTCTGTAAGAAGAGAGGTAGTTTGTTGTCTGCCTGGCAATGAACTGCGGTGAATTCATTATTGTATCCTCCTCAAAGTATGACATGGCCAGTATCCTTGTCAATGTAATACATGGCAAGTATCCTCAATGTAAGACATGACCAGTATCCTCCTCAATGTAAGACATGACCAATATCCTTCTCAATGTAATACATGGCCAGTATCCTCAATGTAATACATGGCCAGTATCCTCAATGTAATTCATGGCCAATATCCTTCTCAATGTAATACATGACAAGTATCCACCCTAATGTAATACATGGCCAATATCCTTCTCAATGTAATATATAGCAAATATCCACCTCAATGTAATACATGGCCAATATCCGCCTCTATGTAAGACATGTCAAGTATCCTCAATGTAATACATGACAAGTATCCTCCTCAATGTAAGACATGGCCAGCATCCACAACGTAATACATGGCCAGTATCCTCAAGGTAAGACGTGGTCAGTATCCTTCTCAATGTAAGGTCAGTATCCCCCTCAATGTAAGAAATGGCCAGTATCCTTCTCAATGTAAGACATGGCAAGTATCCTTAATGTAATACATGGCCAGTATCCACAATGTAATACATGGACAATATCCACAATGTAATACATGGCCAATATCCTCCTCACTGAAAGACATGGCCAATATCCTCCTCACTGAAAGACATGGCCAGTATCCTTCTCAATGTAGGGTCAGTATCCACCTCAATGTAAGACGTCCCAGACTATGCATGTACGATATCACTCTACCACGTAATGAAAGGCATATTTACAAATTTTACATACAAATAATATACCATAATACCCTACTTACGCAAATTTCAAACTTTTACAAAATATTATAAAATTTTATTACGTCATATAAAATAGATAGCAATTAAGCACTACGGTATTTTATAATTGAAATATCGAAAACGACGACCGTTTATCGTGCGGAAAACGAGTCACACCTTTCTTTATAGATCCAGTCATATAAAGGGTTTAATGACTCGGAAAATTGATGACATGGGAAAGATCACTGTTATGTTTCAATCCATAAAACTGTTAATGCAGACAGAATCCATAGAACCTCGATTGTATTCATTCAAAGTTTGCACTTTTACGGCACACACACATTATAAAGATAGAAATTGGAGTCAGAATTTCTCTTATATTTCACTGTATAATAATATTTTTTTTATCAACGACCCTATAGTAATTACAGACGGCATTTCCTAGAGCATGTAATTAGATCTCTCCATAACGAAATAATTACAAAACCTTTTTATACGCCCACATCTCTCTATGTGGACGTATATTGTCGGCACCCCTGTCTGACCGTCCGTCTGTCCGTCAACATTTGCTTGTAAACGCTGATGGAATCAAATGGAATTCGGTATGTGTATACATATTCAAAAATAAAACGAATGCCCTTGCCCCAAAATCTTGAATATGCTATTATTCTCTTAGTTTTCAACCGATTTTGATGAAACTTTAAATGGATGTTATTGGCCTCTTACGTTAGTTTTGAGGAATTATGGCCCTTTAACCTCTTTACAGTAAGTGCTTTTATCAACATCATATTCTCGTAAGCACTATAAAAACTAGAGTGTTTTAAGGAATCAAATGAAATTTGGTATGTGCATACATATTCATGAAACGAAGGTCCGTTGGTCCGTCAGTCCGTTGGTCCGTCAGTCCGTCCGTCGGTCCGTCCGTCCGTCCGTCTGTCCGTCAACATTTGGTTATAAACGCTCTAAAAACTAGATTTTTTGATGAAATCAAATGAAATTCGGTATGTGTATACATATTCCTAAAAAAGAAGATCAAGTTCGACTTTGAGCTATTTTCGACCGTTAGAAGCAGAGTTATTTCCCTTGCCCCAAAATCTTGAATATTTACCATCCGCATACCGTGGTGGGCGTATATGGCTGTGGTCCACTATCTTTCTTTTTGTACTAGACATTGATTGTTTATTCTTTGACCTGGTAAGATAGATGGAAAATCAGTACACAGTCATACAATCAGTCTAATTAAAATGAAACCAAACTTTCGGTTTCTTTTTATTAGCTTTTATTTTAAATATAGCCACTTCAGTTAACCGTTTGACCTAACCTGCTAAACAGCGCGTTACAAACTGCCAGTGCTGGAGAGGGTAGAAATTTGATTGGTTAATGCAGACATCATCGAGTTAGGTCAAAATTGGTTAATTGGTCGAACTTTCATTAACTAACTTCTATAACGAGGATATAGTCTGGGAGCTTTCATTTAATTTTCTGTTACGACTCTTTCAGGGGGAGATAACAGCATATTTGATCTACAAGTTTGAAACGACATGTTTACAATAGAAAATGACAAGCCCCACAAGTTTTGTCAGTTAATATTTGATATTTTTATCATCAGATGTTATATTTATTGATTTTTTGAGAAAAGAATTAATATTCGAAGACATTGTCATAATAACCGAATTATTTTAATTATTTTTCGGATGTTGATTTACAACCAATCAGAAGCCATTGTAGAATAGGTCAATTACAAAGATTTTAAGCAACGTGTCGAGGCCATCATCTTTCGTCGACAAAGCGGGACTGGATGATATATGCTAACCTTGACTCAGCTCCAATAGCCACCTTTGCTATATCATGGGTTTTCAGTTAAAATCATGGTACAAGGCTAAATGTCCGTGAGATCATGGCCGAGACGACGGCAGATAAAGCGTATATTGGAGGAGGTTCATTGGGCCAACTCAGTCTCCTCCGAGCCTCTCTTCTAAGAGACTCTTCTCATTTTTGACCCCTATCTCAGGCATTTTCTACATACGCCCCTGTAAGCGAATGTCCCGACTTCTGTACACATATCTACTTCCTGTAGCAGGCTATGGTCGTGCTTGTGCTTGTGCTTCAATCGAGACTAACGATTTTGTGTGAGTACATGGAAAGCCGAACAGACTTCACGGTTAATACAGCGACAACTTTCTCTAGATTGATGTAAAATAAATTGTTCCAACATAATATGGGAAGAGTTTTTCTTGATCAATTAAAAATTGGGATCTTGCGCTTGCAAATAATCCTTCAGCCTATAAAATATATCGGTTGTTACTATCATTATCATTATAGCATTTTGTTTAACCCTATTCGTTTTCATTGTTCAATTTTAGTTTAGTTTATCAGCCTTTCAAGCGAATAATTTAAAAAAAAAATATCCATTTAATTTACATCGAAGCAGTTCATTGTAGCCTTTACGTCTAATTGACTGGAATGAACATATACAATTGATTTTAATTAGGATATCAGTGAACTGTATAATTGAATATACAATATCAAGCATACTTCAATACCACTTATAATTACTTCTAGTTTCTACTATACTTGATAAAACATTCAAGTTCATTTGTCTTAATTCAGATTCGTGACCTCAAGGATTTATTGTATATTGAATCCTTCTGTTTCGGTTTCGCATAGTTAAAAGGGCATTCTGCTTTTTTCAACTGGTTTTATGGTTTAGAGTGTGGAATACACCAAACATATAGAGGAAGATGCCTGTAGATGCTTGTAGTTAAATCAAAAATAACTACAAAAGTCCTAACCGGTTTTGTTCATATTTTGAATCCCCCAGGCTCCATTTTTACTGTACAATCCGATATTCGATTGCGATTTCCGTAGTTTAAAACATCTGTCCACGCAAATATCAGGTCATGTATTTTTTAACTCAGCAATTCTAAAATTTGACGTTTAAATGACATCTCTGTCGCCAAGTTTATTTATAAAAACTACACAAAAGAAAAACAAAAACAAAATTGATACAGAAATAATGAGTAGCCATAACAGTGGCAAAATAATTTTAGTTTTCGTTTTGTTATTTGTCTATATTAAACGGTGCCTGAAAGGCTGACATCGAATATCTTGCTGCAGCATAGACGCAGCATAGGTCAGAATGCCTGTTGGGAGCGCAAACTGATTTGCCCGAAAATTTTGAAGGTGCGAGTCTTTCCGGTGTTTTTTCGGTTTCGGTCTCCTTGTCTCCTACGCCCGTGTGCTGCAGAAATACTAATCTGATTAAACTGAAAATCTGAATGTTTCGTTTACGGGTTTCGTTCAATAAAAGATTTCCATACTGAATTTGAGGAATTCTTGAAAATTCGTTGTTAATCATTGACTTGTAGTGTCTTTGTAATAGATTTTAATTGAAAGGTTAAGATGTGTTAACAATTTGCACCATTTCAATTTTCGATCAGACGTCTGTGGTTCCACTAAACCCATTTGTTTGATAACGTCACTAATCGCTAAAGGCCTTAAATGTGATTAAGTATATCTTGCGATCATTGAAGTCACGAAACGCTAAGTTTATGGAACTGCTGGAACCACAGATATCTGATTTAAAATTGGAATGGTTCAAATTGATGCTATCAGTGTCTCCGATAGACATAAATCCTTTTAGAAACCTCTTAAAATGCTTTTGAAGATTCAGCTACACCTTACAGTCGGACTGTATAAGTCACGTCAGTCAACTACATATCAAAATAAAACAACATAAACCTATAACAGTGTATAATTAAACAAAAAAAGAATATTATTGTATTGATTAGACAAACCATTGCCACAAAAACTTGTAATTGAAAGAAACAATCATACTTTTCTGCTCCAATGAAATCCATTTTGAAAATGCAATAAATAATATCAGAATATTTATTTCTCATACATATAAGGCATATTATATCGATAGTTTCACACATCTCAGGACCCGCAAACAATAATGTCCTAATGTCTAGTAACAGTTAACGATTTAAAAAAAACAAATCAAATATAATCTGACGACATTGATGTTGGTTTATTTTAACCAATTAAATTCTGAATAAGGCGACGTCAGAATCTGACGATCCCAGATTTTGGAACAGGCCCCCGTTTCACTATGTGAGTAAGTTAAAATATTTACGTAAGTATAATTTATTTGAAGGCTAAATTTGCGTTTCACTAAACGACTTAAGTTTTTTATACTTACGTAAATAAGTATCTTAAATCCTACGCGAATCAGGCGTTTTCATGCAACCTGTTAGAACTGATAAAACATATACTTAACAAAACATTACATTGAATAAAAAATTTTTAAATCAATAGTTTTTTTTTCGTATTTAGAAATGCTGATTTATCATCGTATAAAAAAGCTATCATTCAATAGAACTTTATTTTCATTGATTAAATAATATTTTAAATCCATCATTTTTTCATATTCATCAATATCACATAAAAAATATCGGTATACGTATATATTTCCACATGGGAACTTAAGGCGCAGAGTTAATATAAATATTTGAGCAGATACTCGCATTTAAAATCACAATCTGGCATCGCCCGTCGTTAATGTCACTTTCTGAAGCTATACTATAATGAATATTATCTCGAATGTGTTTTCTTACCATTGGCTTCTTCCAACGCTGGAGGTACACTACCTCTCCATTTCTCATAGAATTGTCATTGGAATATGGCATGGAATCGGTCCTAGTATGGCGGGAATGACGTAAACTGTGGGCAATATTGGTAATGTACCTAATGCAAAGTGTTCTATAGAACACACGCCGAAATTTGGTACTGATCAAAGAGTAAATGATGAAGTTTATTGAGGCGTTGATTTGTAATAACAAATTAGTGATATTGCCCGCTATTAAAATCGAATTTCTAGTCTGTCTGGTCATTCGCGCATCTGTCAAATCGATGTACGTCCGGTACATCAAGAGCACCGCACCTGGAATCTGACACACTAAAAACACTAGCACAACCATTATCAGCATTTTAGTAATTTTATGTTGGTCTCTATTATGACGTTCAGTCAAATGTCTGTTATTAGAGGCCATCGTTCTACGTAACTTATTGGCCCTTATCACAGTCCATATTAATAATCCATTGAAAACACACAGGAAAATTAAAGGTAGGAATGTGAAAAATGTTACTAAAAACCAATAAAAACCTATTTGATAGCTGTAACTTCTAGAGAAAGCTGTCTCTCGGAGTTGTAATGTGGTTTTATTATCTACTATTTTTTCCTCCACCTTTAATTCACAGAACTCTGGCGATGTACAAATAATACCAAATACAGCCACAATCAGTATTATAATCCTCGCTCGTTCAGGGGTACAGAGTTGTCGACCCCTCATAGGATGAGCGACGCCAATATATCTTTCTAACGTAAACGTCACCGTCAGTATAACCGAGATATTGGCGGACATGTCCGTAAGAACTCTTCCCGTAGCAAACCAATGCCAATAGTTGGGAAATTCACTGATAAAATCATAATGTTTGAAACTAAGGGTTAAACTAAACACCAAATAAAGACAATCGAAGGCCGCTAGTGCTGTCAAGTAGCAATTTGTTGAAGATTTCATGCATCTTCGAGTCAAAACGAGAATACTTAGAATATTTCCAGTTAGTCCAAGGGTTGTAATAAAAGGCACACATAATTTTTGTACAATATACCTGGTAACTTCCAGTTCATCTGTATTATCCACTAACAGCGATAACGATATAGAGCTGTTATTCATTTTTCCTTGTCACTCGTCCAAATCTAGTCTCATTATTTTGAGATCCTTTTGTGGGAGTTAAAACAATCAATATCCAAGACGCCGTGTTTCCTTACCGGAATTTTGTAGCTTTCACCTTTGAAACCTAGTTTCCACATTAATATGCGAATTTTTGTTCAAACCTTCCTAGTTTTCAATATTAGACTACATCCATTCACAACTTTCTCCACAATTTGTTAAAAATAAAATCTAAAATTACATCCAAAAACTTTCCAATAGAATGTATGCATTGGAATGAATATCAACTTTTTCTTTTCTCTATAGCATGAAATAAACGATCTGATAACACAACTGTTCCTTAGTATATCAGTAGTGTTTATTCCACAAGTTTGATATTAACATCTGAATATATATCACCATGAGGTCCATAACTGTTACCTAGTTATTTGATTAATTACCTTTTCATACGCGTCTGCCTAATTAGCAATCACAGGAAACTGACCAGTATTGTACGTCAGTGTCCAATCACAAGAAACTGACCAGTGCTGTACGTCAGTGTCCAATCACAAGAAACTGACCAGTGCTGTACGTCAGTGTCCAAACGTTAACGTCGGTTCTGGGTGTCTGATTTGTAAGAGCAAGATATTTTGAGATGTACTGACTTTAATTAGCCAACACAAAAATTACTACTACGCAAATGTCGGTCGGTCGGTTTTGAGTTATCATTGACGGTTGAAAGATAATGTTTTTGATGAAAGTCTATAATTACATCTTGTTATTCACTTTCCCGTCGTATTCGTAATGGTAATTAGTATGTATGTAATTAGAACTTTAACGATCGGCTCAAGTCTAATCAGTTAAGGGGTCTAGTCTTGTCATATAACAGGAATATTTTCGATATCAGCATATATATAACTTGACAATAACTATAACTATAACAACAATCCACTGGCTCTGGAAAAGATTACCAATAAACAGTCGGTTTTATTTTCAAATAATAATTATTGTGGAACCGCGGGGTAAACTATTATCTAAATTAAGAAAGAGCTTTACAGGTAATTACCTTGGTATTTTGTAAAAATTAGAACAACGTAAAATGCTTACATCAAAGACTCTCGATTCTTCAAACCATAATTAAATCCCAGATAATTACGCGATTTGTAAAGTTTGTATATACTTAAATATCAGTTTTCCATTTCCATTCCATATGCCACACATATTAATTTTCTCTTAATCTAATTTTTCATTTTCGATTCAAGGGTTGGTTTCTTGTGTAATTAATTAATATCCATTTAACAAACAGTAGATTTACGGTGTTATAAGCAAAAAAACGCCGATATTCTGTCCAAACCTTAACTCCAAAATCCAACACTAACAGCAAAAGCAGAACCAAGTTATATACTCCTTGAATTTTAAAAAACATCGGTCCCCGTCGACATCTACCACACACAAATTCTTAAAAAGTTATGTTCAGCGACAGTTATAAAATCTGTTTTTTTATTATGAGAATTTTCATTTCCTTACGAGACAAATACAGAATCATTCCAAGGAATGAAATATAAAATATTTCATCTCATATTACTATAATCCCGAAAAAAGCAGCTAAAAGCTCTGACAAGTTAGAAAGTTTCATATTCGCAACACGAATATCACTTATTAGTCTGTGTTAAGCTTTATATTTTGTCTGGAAATAGAATTTATCACATCGTTCCTATAAGAAAAAAAAACTTCATAAAAATCAAAAAAAAACTGAATCATTTCCATTGGAAGAATGTCACCAATCCTTTTTCATCGATTAAAAAATACATTGTCATTTCAAAAGAGTTCTTAAAAAAAATGTTTATAGAAATATAAGCTACTATAGATCAAGGTATGATGCCGCAGCTTCTATATAAAATATATTTATAGTCCTTGTTACAACCACTATATGTACACTGATGTGACAATCCTGACAACATCTATCTGTCTCCGATTCAAACTCCACTACAATACAACTTTACTATTGATTTAACATAAATTATTGGTTTTTGTAGTGCTACTATTAGTGTTTATATTGTTTCTCGGGTAGTGACTACTTTTGAAAGTCAACGAGTAAACAATAAAGAAAAATCTGTTCGTGGCAGAACAGTCTAAAGGAGAAAGAAACAACCATATTTCACAATGATAAAGTTCTCGAGGATATTGCCTACGGTTCGTGCTTTGATTGACCGTTTTCGTCCAATGGCAAATAATATTGAAAATATGAATACTTTGAAAAGGATCATTGTTGACAAATCTATTGATGAGTGACATTAAGAATAAGTAATTCATCGAAGCTATTATTCAATCGTCTTTGGATCTTAGACTCGATGGTCAGCTCGATTTAGCTGTTGCTTTTAAATATTTTCATAGCATTGATGCCCGTTGATAAAAATAAATGTTTCGAAAAACCATTTAACCAAAACCCAAAAACATAGTAAAAAAATCTATTTTGAATTAGGCCTACCCGACTTTCCAGGACGTCAAGCAACAAGCATTTCTTTAACTTGTGTTTAAACATTCGAACCCATCGTACAGTCCCAGAACATTTTCAGGCTTCTTGAATGTCATTGTAAGATCTTTACGAGTAGTTGTGTATAACATTTTTTCTGCTTTCAAGCTTAAAATGTTGAAGTAATTACATCATTATGTTTTCCTATTGTTTCTATATATTCCCACGCCTTGTTGAAGTGAATTTATACGCCGGTGTTCAATGTATAACCACTATATGTGCTGAAACGATAAATCAGTATCGGCAATTCGGCATACCACGAGGTATTTTATCGATATTGGACCATACCTTTCATTTCATAAAAAAAAAAGTGGGGATTGTTATAAGTTAGTGAAAGGAATCACAAATTGTTTTCACTGAATTGACTAAAATTGTCTGAAACTATTTATAAGGCAGTGTACATTAACCACTCCTAACAACATTTGGCCTACCAAATATCACAGTAACAACGTCGTGAATTAATATCAGTCTAATTGAAATTAGATCAAACTTTCGATCCGTTTTTTATTAGCTTTTATTTTTGATATGACCACTTCAGTCAGGGTCAAAAGACTGGCCTCTAAAACATTCGTCAAAATAACCTTTTGACCTAACCCTGCTTTAAAGATGGGTTCCCATATTTTCGTTTAAGAAAATGAAAATGCTGATACTTATAGGAATAGAAAATAGAGATGTTCTAATGACTTGGAAAAATACTAGTTTGTCTCACATGTCCATAATTAATTCATAATTAGCTAAATTAGAAGATAATTATTTTTGTTTATCCAGACTGTGCATAGACGGACATTTGAAATTGGTTAAAACTCTTAATTATATGCATATAATGATATGATTAAGAATACATGATAATTCATCAGAAACACCAATTAATCAAATAATTTGCTTAATTCGACACTAAAAAATAAGGAAACCCATCTTTAACGAATCAAATTTCTGTAGAATTGGTTAATGCAGATGTCATCTGAATAGGACAAAAGGTTATATTGACGAATGTGTAAGAGGTCAGTCTTTAGACCCAAACTGAAGTGGCTTTATTAAAAATAAAAGCTAATAAAAAAACGGAAGTTGGGTCTTATTTCAAGTAGACTGGAATTAATACATCTATTGTTAATTTTTATTCCATATCGCGGTACGTATGTAGCATGAATGGCGATGCCCAGCACTACCAACATTTACATTGTGTTGTTCATCAGTCTAAAGATCTTTTTATAACAATTTCCATGAAATATGCTTTTATAAAGATAATACATGTATACAAAGCATTTGACAAAAAAATTAGCCAGTCTAGGCAATAATCAATTCGATGGTTAAAGAACACAATAATAGAACTACAATATCTTCCCGATATCTTTTGACATGTCATAGACAGATGTTCCATCAATATATATTATTCAAATCCTTTCAAACTGCGTGTTTTTTGAAAATAAAAATTGGCGTTTTAAAAATTCCTGAGCGCTGAAATTGAGATCTCTTCCAGTTGATTTAGATTATGCTTGTTTAAAGTTCTAACAATGGAATGAAAAAATTCAAATGGAATCGTGTTCAATATGGATTGACAAGCACAGCACGAATATTCCAAACAGCCTCACATAACAACGGGACATACTTTTAATCATAGTTCCATGCTTCCAGCCTCAAATGACGTGCCTCTGTTCATGTGGCTCCCACTAGAGAATTCTCTCAACGAAATAGAATGATAATGATAAAACTGAAAGAGAATAGCGTGTCTACTGAATGGCCAGAGTGAAAGAATGGCCTGTGGTCTCTGCTCGCTCCACTCACCTAATGTTTCCTAGACATGACACCGCCGAAAGATCAAAATTAAAATTGTTATTTTTAGGAAAACAATTACTATTAAACCTTTTAACTAATGGATAAAATTCAAGGTCAACCAAATACAATCTTATCCAAGTTATACATTTCATGTGAGCTAACAAACTAGAAAGAAATAAAGAAACAATAAACCCTTGGATGGCAACTTACACATGGCGCTGTCTACTAGCTTGTTCTGCCTACATCTTGGCATTGATCTTTCCCGTTATCATGACTTGTGTTTTTTGGTTTGTAGATTGATCAAGATGCATGTAAAAAAAACAGTATTAACGATGCGATCCCAAAAACGAAACCCGAAATCCGATGCATCACATTGGCAATCCATTGATAGCACCAAACGAACTTTTCATACCAGGAAGTATATCACACGTTTTATGATCTAGGTATATTAAGAACTGTAAATTGAAATAAATCATTAATTAAAAAGTGAAATAGATGAGAAGGGCGAAAACATTATACAAATTGTTCGAAGCATCTCGTCAATGTAATATTAAAAATTTGCGGATCCTGAACCATTGACATTTAACTTAAATATGTTCATATAAGAACTGTTAATATTGCGTGGGAGAATGTGTTAAATTGCACCACATACCAAGATGTTAATTGATTAACATGGCAATCTTCATGTTATATCATATTACGTACATACACCAAGTTT